CCAGGAACAGTTTCTGTTCTAATGGAAATACCTCTAGGTGTGAGGGGAGTATTATTAAGCAATTCGTTACGTTCATGCACGTCTACGCACGCTTCTTCACATGAAAAGAAATGCATGCAATACCTCTTCGGCTGTCATAAAGAGAAATTGGTAAACGACCAAATGCTCTAAACAAAGGTCTCTCCTCAGTCAATTCTTTGTTCATTCACTTCTTTGAACAAATATGGCATGCATAAATCGTACATAGTAGATACGTATTTTACTTTCGCCCATACTACTTACGTAGTATAGAGAATGTGTTAATTTTACAGCAAAAAACGGCTCCATTTTTTCTCAAAAAGGCTTCAATTTTGTCTTTAAATTTTCCTCTTACAGAATAAAGGACAGTAAAAAATGGTGGAGGTCTCATTTCTTTGAACTTTCTAAATTTTCGTAAATTGCACAAGTTATAAATAATGTGAGAATTTACTAACAGTAAATTACTTCCTCTAACACCTTGTGTAGTCAGAATCTACGTGTCGTGGGACTTTTAACACCAAAAGCTGGTGTTCGGCAAACCGTCTGACCATCTGTCTATTTCTTCGACTGTCTGTCTGTCTGGCCCTCCGACTGTCTGTCTGTCTTTCCGAGTGTCTGTTTGAATGTCTCTCCGCTTGTCTGTCTCCGTCCGTGGTTTCTCTGATCGGCACTGGGCAAATGCCAGAGCAGCTCCCTAGAATGCGAGCCACGGATCGCGCACGATGATTTCTTTCCTATTTTGTCCTCATTCTCCAGCCCTAGGCTCTAGTTGGCATATGGGCCGATCACCTAACCTCGTATAGTCCACTCCGTTGAACTAAAGAATATGCCACGAGTGTTGAAGAAACAGAATACAGCGCGCTCACCTCTGAATCTCAGAGGCACAATGTGTCACGTCATGGGGTAATCGGAATAATAAAAACAAAAATGGGCTGCTAGCTACCGAAATCGTGTGACGCTGTCTTCAATTATATTGATACGAAAAACGAATATAATGGCCGGCCCGGATGGTCGAGATCTCTAAGGCAGTTGTGTCGTAGCGATCTCGGACCGAAGGATCGCGGGTTCGAGTCCCGCCTCGAGCGGGGTTATATTGTGGTCGCCCTTTCACACCCCTATCATCATCATCATCATCATTTCGTGTCATCCTCATAGTTACCATTCCGTTACACGCAATACAGGTCGCTAATGACTTAGTAGTTGATGCGACCTTTTATATAAATTTTTTTTATATTGCCTTCACTGAATACAGATGAATTACCGAATTGTTTGTTAAAGTCATATTCGATTTTTTTGTTGAAGATCTTCACTTAATTCAGGACTGCTCAGAATAAATGTTACTAGTGTAAGGAGTTGAAGATAACTACATTTTGCCAATGACGATATAGTGGGAAATTTCATTGCGAAATTACTCGTGTTGTATTTATCTCTGATCGGTAGGTGAGTCTAAGTACACTAGTGTTTGTTAGGTACACATTCTGACGTAAAGATATTTCGTGTATATTTCTATCACTTGTAAAATTACCTTCTTATGGAATTTGTGGCACTGTCATAAACTTAATGTCTTTTTACCTACAATATAGAGTATGCAATTTTCTAATACAAACAGAATAACGGCGTTTTTTGCTGAAAACATTTTCGAAAAAGAAAAAGTCACATTACCAAAATAATATAGTACACAAAAGTACATACCGCGATATTGTGTTTTAAATTGATTGCCTAACCATGTTCAGTTATCTAATGCATATGTTAAAGTAGAAGAACTGTAAGTCTTTCATTTGAGTTGAACGTCAAATGAAACACCAATATAATTGAACACAAGTTAAGCAAAATTTAGTAGGCATTAAAAAAGTTTTCAAATTACGGCAGTATTTGTAGCTCCGAGAGTGTATTTTGAAGTATATTCTTACCTGACATTGGACAGTTTTTTGTGGAGACGCATTGATATGCAACCAGACTAGTAAATTACTTCAAGTATGTACATATATTAAGAAAAAGTCATCCACGTGATTCCCCTAAGCTTTTTTTCTTTATTGAGCTTGGAATACTACCATTTGCCTTGCCTACTGATTTAACACTCAATGTATTTTGTTAACACTGACTTATTCAAAGATATGGAATACAGATATACGTAATCATAATACGACGTAAGAATCATCACCATCAGGTGTCAGGATTCCCAGACACATTGACAACAAACATTTTGTCCACTATGCATTTTAGTCCACTTCGAATTTTAGTCCAGAAACATGGTATGTCCATTCAAATTTCGTCCACTTTTTTATTTCCACTTATAAGAATGGTCCATTGAGCATTGACGTCCATCACATTGAAATGTCCATTAACATTGTGTCCATTTTATACATTTTAGTCCACAATAATTGTAGTCAATTGTAAAAGAAATACGTATTTTCTGGAGTTACAATATTATACAATAAAATATTTGATACTTCTCCATCACGTTCTTCAGTAACATATAATTTCATTGTGTAGCTAATGAAATATGCAAATATATTTTTTATTATTATTCTTGGCATATTCTTGATACCTGTCAACAATATTTTCAATTTGACGTTGGTTTATAATATACTAACATACAAATAATTTTCTAATGGAATATCTGATTTGTCTATGACCTTGAAAAATAAACCATTTACGCCTCTCAACCTTTCGAAATGTCAAAACTTTTATAAATTAAACACTTTCCATGGAACCTGCAGTCAACCTGTTGTGAGTAAAATGCTTGTCAAGCAGTGTCTTGTGATCTTTGATACACGGTCCGAATGTTCCTAATAGTCATGATCGGCATTGCCAAAAATACTTCGCTTCTACAATCTTCTTTCACGCAACATCCGCTCCAAATGAGACGCTAAGTTCATCCTCTTTTTGATATTCGGTGAAAATCGGTTAGCTTACGTCGAACTTTAAATAAGAGCATATGCAGGAAAGCACGTGACATCCGAGAAAGAATTAAAATATGTTAACTCTTCTACTTTCAAATTTAATATTCACATGATGGTTTCGAAAGCTAAATTGCCAAGTTATCGTTTAAGCTCGTACAGAGACTATTTTCTGTTTTTTAAGTATGATTAAACAATGGATTTGTTCCTATTACTTTCCACGACATTGTTTTAAAACGACGCCTTTTATATTTCACTAGCTTAAGAGACCCGGCATTTCTCGGGCATTTAATTATCACAGTCATATATTAGATTCTGTCCAGGCGCTGGCCCATGGGCTTTGCATAAAGATACAAAATTTAACAAAGGGTAAGGTACCATAGTTATGCTGCATATACATGAAAGCAACTTTGTAATTTGACTTGTAAAATAACACCATATTTTGATGTAACATTTGAATCGCTATACGCTGTGTTTGATTCTTTGTCGCTCAATAGTAATCGTGTAAAATGTAGGAACCATCACAGCAATAGTATATTTTTTAGCCATTATAAACCATTGTAAACAAATTCACTTTCATATAATAGTGGTCTGTAGGAGCAAAAGCAGCTCATCTTTCAAGACACATCTCCGCGTACTTGCAGTTGTTAGGCAGTTCACCGCTCACAAAGTTACCAATATCTTCTAGTCTAAATTTAGAAGCATAATCAAGAATTATCAGAATTTTGCAATGAGAGAGCCCCCCTTATTTGGATAACAAAATCGCTATCATTAGTCATTATATTTTTAAGAGTTTCATTAACTTGGTGTGACTGAAAATAGAAGAAAAACTTGTGAATACAGTATTTAAAATGCACAATTGTCTTTCTCTTAAAAATATCTTGTTCCACAATTAGTGAAGATTTCGCGCAACAAACCCAAACTATACAGCACAATCATTTATTCGTAGATAAATTCGGGATGAATGAATGCTTAATGCGAATAAGTGAATACGGACAGACCCCGCTGAATAGGAACATCAAATATATTTTTATACAAAATGTTATATTAGTTTACACATTTGTAAAAATGTTGTAATATATAACACAAACGTTACAATTTATTTTCACGTTATTTTAATTCGTGTGATGATTTCAATGTCAGTAGGGTCCGATGATGTAGTCATGAATAGAGTCCCTTCACATCAATTCAGTAACATTTTCTATTTGAACCCCGAACAATGGGTGTTGAACTTTCGATGCGAATACAACAAATTCTAGCCCGAATTTGCACCTCAATTCCGAGGTGTCGTGAAAACGACACCACACCTTCTTGGGCGTTTTCTACAAGAAACACAACTCATTTCCAATATATAATAACTTAAAGCTGTGACATCGCGATTACACGGAAAAACGAATGCCTCGCTATCTCTACTTTGCAACAATCAATGTGTTCCCGTTCCTAATGATTCACCCAATGATTATCAAGAAAACCTATCACAGTAAGGAACTACTCATGTGGTTAGTTTCCCCGCTGTTGGCTATCACAAAAAAACTAAGAATACAATTTTCTCGGTAAATTTTTATGTTTCTGTTTATTTTTGCATTCTTCCTGGATTAAAAACGTGCAGAATGAGATCTCCTGCTGTAGTAGGTGAGTTTGGCAAAATTTTGCGCAAGCGAAGTGATTGTATATATTTATTTTTCTTGGTGCACAAACGTAACTGAACATTTACAATATTTCCTCAAAACTCTTTATTATCTTGTTGGTTTTAACCATATATTTGCTCACAGCGTTCTTCCAGACTCCATAAGTGTGCCATTTTTTGCCATTGTACCCTTCAGTTAGTGTAGCTGCATTTCACCTACTCTCAACATACGATAGGTGCAATCCATTGGATACGATAGGTGAATCCTATATCGACTGGAAATATATTTACAGAAAATTGTTACCAAATGTCACCACCCAGCGTAGTAGTAACAGTGCCACCTCCCTCGATAATACATTCACTACTTTAATGGTGAATGTATAACCGAATGTGTCACCGAAGCAGTTGACTTTCTCGGAAACAGCAATGAATAGAAATGGAGAAAGCAAACTCACCCAGGTTTGCCGCCAGACTCCATATGATTGGCCAAAGTGACGTCATCGCTCCAAACGTCGAACTGCCATTTGCGCAGCCCCAGCACCCCGCACAGCACGTTGCCCGTGTGGATGCCAATGCGCATGTCAACGTTGAAGCCCGTCGCCTCCCTCACGAAACTGCGGCACAGAGCACAGAAACAATCTGGGAGGAGGGTCATTAGGCTCAGCTCACAGTGGCCAATGGTACATATTACTAATTAATAATTTTACTAGTTTTCTGTACAAAGTAATTCCTAAAATCAATTGTTAACGTTATAAATATTGACTATAAGTCAACAAATTTAAATACATTTTATATTCAGCATAAAGGAAAAAGGGTTTTGGAACAAGCATCAAGTCGACTGAAAAAAAACTGTGAAAATACGTTCCAAACATTGTGTACTTTACAATGATACTTCACAAATTCATCTACTGTTTATATACATTTTTAAATCCTCAAGACCTCATAGAGAAAAGTCATCCATCATATTTTCTATGCTCGCATATGGTATAAAAAAATATTAGTGCAAAATGGTGCGCTTGGTGCAAAAATCGATGTCAACCTTTTGACAAAAATACTCAAATAAGGGGGCCCTAATTCCGTGATGTTGTTTCAACACGACTGTCCGTCCGTCTCATTGCAGATAACACTAGCGCGTAAACCGCCCTTAAAATTTTATCCAAAATGGACATTCCTCGATCGATCTGGTTGCATCCAATGGCCTACGAATTTTAAAAGGATATTTAATTTTTGAGGATTCTTTTCACGAAAAATTCTCAAAAGTGGCTACTTTTTCTGAATTTTTACTAAAGTGCCATTCTTTAAATGCTCTCGTTTGAAAGAAGAGAATGCTTAATAACATGGTGTAAGTGCAATTTTCATCAAACTGGAATTCTCACAACATGAAGTTTAATTTTTTACTTTTTTCCCTACACCTTCAACTGTTAAACTAGATATTGGTTTCTTACAATGCATTCAATTCCTCCATTTTAGATGTTAAATAATTTTCTTTATACATTCTCCAAAATATTAGTAGTTTTCCTGAAAATTTGACTAATGGTGACAAAGTTCAATTGTTTTCAAACCTGTTCTAAATCTTCCACTTTGAAGCTAAATATTTAATTCATCTACGCGTATTTGTTAACGTTACGTTTCCATATCAATTTACCAACACCAAATATTCGAATTTTTTGCGAAGTAATTTCGTGTTAAATCGTCTGATTTTATAACGTATTAGTAAAATAGAGGGTGATATATTATACTTCGTAACTGTTATTAACATTACAATAAAAGATAACATTTTAAGCACCATTAGTTTTATATACTACATTGATAATAACGAATATAGTTATAGATAAGTTAGGTTAGTTTAAAAGTTTGATCATTTTATTAATAGTGCAAATACTTACCGAATTGCTTCAATCATTTGTAAACCCATGTTGACACAGTTGTACGCATGATTGGGGCGTGAAACAGGCAGTCCCGAAACACAATAGTAGCAGTCTCCCAATATCTTGATACGCATGCACTGGTTGTCCTATTACAGTGGGCCAAGAAAATGTGAACTTTAAAATTTCCATTCATTTAATTATAATGTCAATGGTCGCAACTTCACTGACTAAGTGAGAACTACGTGCAGTCGTATCATATACAGCAAGAGAAATAAACATGATATTATTCTCGTTACCAAAACATTTATTGGAGATATACGAAAATTACGTGTGACGATTTATACAAGTTTGATGTGTTTTGCAATTTTTCCCGTGAGGTAATATTACGAGAAGGGCACTGCCCTAGAATCCTCAAAATGTAGTCCCTACAGGTACCGTATTGAAGCGTAGAGTACCACGCTTGCTGCACCTCTCAGTGGCGTAGTGTGACTCACATGATTGGGGTGCTGAACTATAACACGAACTGAAGCCATGGGGATCTTTAACGCCCCTTAAAATCTATGACATTCAAATAAATACCCTTAACATCTTAAGGACTTGCAATATCTTAGTTTAAAGATCAGGCGACTCCCTTATTGTCGTCTGGAATAATTATATTTACATTTTGTCACCTATAATATTCACAAGAAGTCACTATAAACAAATTTAACTCGCAAACAAACGCAATAATGTATAGATTTACTGCAAAATACGTCCACGATCTCGACACACTTCTCTCCTGAATTCCTATATAACAGCCAGAGCTGGCCTGTTCTTGTTAGAAAATTGTGCAATGGCCCATATTTTATTCTCATGCACGTATGAACACAAGATCAGCTGAGAAAATGTAAATACCAAATGGAACAAAATGATTATATACTTAAGAGGAAATGTAATATTTAAGAACGTCCTTAAAGAAGTAGTAGGAAAGTTTTACATTTGGTGCCTGTTGTAACGGCATCTATTTGGGCACGCTTGGTTGCGGATTAGTCTCGCCACAGGAAGAAGGGTTTTTCCGTAAAGGGAAGAACGCGGAGACGGGAGACACAAGGCTTTGGGTGTCTTCCGGCTTATAGAAGCTTTTCACTGTTATAACAAGCGAGGGGGTGGCGTGACGTAGTAGATCACGTGGGCCTCGCCTATATAACAGAGTGTACGGAGCCAGTAGGCAGGTTCTGGAGACAGTGGGAGAACCTCGTGCGTGTGCACAAAACTTGGCGCCAAGACGGTGCATATGCGAGCCAGGCTCGCGAGGCTGGAGTCATTAGTTGACGAAGCCTGCGGACTTTGTGTCCTTGAGTGACTGCGGTCACGGGGGAGCGATGCTGTGTGCGTGCTCCGAGGAGAAGAGTGGTTGAGTGCCACGATTCACGCCGATTCTCAATCGGATAAGATCGCTCCTGCGATCGAGGCAAACCAGCCGTTGGTGCGCCAAAACGGACTTTGTGTCCCAGCGTGACATCCGGTCACGGAAGCTAGGCTTTGTGCGCGCTTCAAAAGTAGGAGTGGCGAATGCCACAATCAAAACCATCTTCAATCGGATTTGAATCGCTCCCGCGATCAGGGGATAGTAGGTCTATCAGAGATAGGGTGTAAGTAGATTATTAAGTGTATATATTTGTTTTGTTTTCTTGTTAATAAATATATTTGTTATACGAAAGCTCTGTGTCTGTGGTCGCTGTGAGTATCCATGACGTCACACTGTACTCGGTGGTTACCATGCGACCAAGCAGGAACCATACGACCAAGTATGACGGAAAAACAGTTGGCTTTGATATGAATATTCTTTGGAATAAAGAAAAATCAAATAGTACAGTATCATATGTTTCAAATTGATTTCGTAATAACAAATTAATAGTAAACGAAATTAAAAGAGTTTCCACCCAATTTTTCATTGCAAATAAACAATTGTTCACCCTGTTGAAAATTAATTACGTGTAAATTACTAATGTTACGATAACATTATTTCGGGGTCTCTCAATTCAAACACATCTCAAATACAACGTCCATTTCAATGAATAACACATAATTCAAAGAAGAAAGAACTTATTCACATTCAATCATCCAAATTTATCCAATATACTGCTCGATGTGTACCTTTCGAAAATGTTTATTCCCGCCAAAGAAACAGTACAATATTCATGAGAAAACACATTCTATACTCCGATTAAAACAAGAAGTCCTTTCAAGGTCATGAGCTGAGAGGAGATGGGGATACTGTCATCAAATCGCGAGCTTCGATACGATTGAAATTTGTGGTGCTGAAAATTCCGATTGAATGACAATGTCCTCCTCTCTTTTCAGCTTATGGCCTCGATAGTACTTTGGGTTTTAATGAAAGTATATAGCTCCCAGACTTTCAAATTACAGTTATTTATGCACCAAGGCTCCAAGGCACCAAGGCATAAGAGCTCTAATGATCGAGCGGCGACAAAAATACCTCGATCCAAAGGCCCTGGGGCATTTTGCCGCAGATCGATCGTTAGAACCAATTAACGCCCGTGGTACATACATAATTTTATTTTTTACCTAATTGTATTGATTCAGATTTACTTATTTACTAATTAACTAGATGTTAAGTTGACTTGATTTGTCATTTCCATAATCCCCTGCCATAATTCCCTCCATAAGAGATAAGGAAGGATCATTCAACTGTTTTTTGATGTTTCCCTCGTAACCACAATCCTCTCTATCGAGGTATGTTACGCAGTGTATATGGAGGAGACAATAGCAAGCTATAACGTGTCAGTTCAAAATAAAAGATTGCCTGCACTTGTGCGCGTGGGACCCTGCCAGAGGGTCGGGTTGCCCAGGAATCCGCTCGGTGTCGGAAGTCGCAACGCACCGCGGCCTCGTCCACCCCTTGCTCGTGCCCGCCTAACAGCCGGCGGAGGCATTTCAACACTTACTTTTGCTCATAAAAATTTTCCCAATTTATTCTGAAAAGGACTTCAAACTTTTACTATTTGCGCTTCTGATTATACACTATCTGCTGATGATGTTTCATAAAAATCTTAGTTTCTATCATGGTCAGTGTGGTATATCGGCGGCGAATATAATTATTGAAATAATCGTTCACCGTGTTCTCGCGACAGTACAGAGGTTGCAAGTGGATTCCTTCAAGTAAGGCACAATAAGGGATAATAGTCATTATCTGTAGCTCTTTTTCCTTTGCCAATAGTTTAAATTTTCTTATCAATGCAGTTTTTTTATCAAAAACGCTCGTTCGTATCTGTATTCACAATTTAACTGAATATGTATGGGTTAGAGAGGAATCCCAGTGCTCAAGCAATCGTGTACAAATTACACCTCTTCCCATAGTGTTTGGTTGTTGTGAAAAGCCTGTCACCGTTGAGACATGAACGCAAAGACCTCGCGGTTAGTTACTGTAATAGCAACAGCTTTTGTTCAGAGCTGTCGCAGCCAGTCTAATATATTAACAGTTGTCGTGAAAAGTAGTGGATATACGATAAATACAACAGGTTGATGTTAATCTTTAATTAGTGAAGACAACCAATAATCTTGCTGCTCATCATCTGTCGCTAGCTTATCTTCGCTGAAAACACGAGCAGGAGGAAAAGACGAGAGTCGGCAACTCGGCAGCGCATGCGTCTCGTGCATTTCATTATCGGTAAAACATAATACATTTACCTTTCGAGCAAGTGGTGGCCAGCATAGAACAACGTGCCGAATTTCGAAGCTAGAAATCACTTTAAACTAAATGTTTCTGTAGGTATCCCTCTGAAATTTGAAGCAGGCACACACTGCCAGCACGTTCTCTTCACAGAGAACGTCAGGGACGGGTCCGCTCGATCAGAAAAGGCAGCTGATAGCTGATTAGCCTGCACACAGAGGCGGTCCACGATCTGCCTCGCCCATATATTTGAAAAACGCGGCTCAAAGAGACAATTCTTGATTTTCATGCTCGGTGATTTAAGACGTCCTAGCACGCCAGCCCGGCTCACCCGATTTGGCATCTTCAGTACTCGACTCTTGGAGACGACCCTGCACGACTTTTCTGGTTTTCTCTCATTGTTACGACCCCAGCCCAGCAAACACAGGAGTTAGCCACTCCACACCGCGGCCAGCGCTATGCCGTATCAGACACGCTTTCGACCCGTCCTCTACTCGTTGTTTATACGTCCAACGCAGGTTCTTGTATAATGTATACGTGACCCGTCTCTGCAGTGCCCTCTCGAGACACAAATTTTGCATAACTTTCATCAGATTTTTTAATTAAGATCAATTGAATGGGTGAAACACACAACGGTTTAAGTAATATTTTATAATTTCTTAGAAAAAAGTTTAGTTTAGCCTATATTTCAGTGACACTGTATTTTTGTGGTTTTAATGATCAATTAAAATGCCGTAGCTTTAATGATGATATAAAGCACCCTCTAGTTTACTGTAATATTGACTTAAATAAACATATTTCTCAGAATTTATAAAATGTCACATACCGTTCCTGTTTTCACACATTCAATTATAATTGATAAAGAAGTTGGCATTGGCCCGTGACGGGACAACACTCATTACGTTGTTGTATGGAAGGTTGCCTACATCGTTGGCGCGGGTTTTTAAACATTTTTGATGTTATGTAAAAAAAAAATATGATGTGGTGAATTTAAATGGACTTCAGATTCTGTTTCAGCGAGCCCAAAAACATATAGGTAATATGGTTTAACTCCTCGGTTAGAAATATCTTTCACCTTTAAAATGGACCCGGGTTCGTATTTAGTGACCTCAAAAAACATAGAAAACATGGTCTGATCGCCACAGACGAACACTTTTTTGTGTGGCTGTGTTATCAATACGATATTTAGAGTTCTTTGATGAATATTTTAGGGATTTAGGGATGTTCAACACTTTCGCCTACTCTGACACTTCCCCTTAGCTTATTCCTGGAATTATGTGGAACACTCCAGCACAAACACCGTCTGAGATGACTCAAGGCACCAACTGATGTCACAGCAGTGCCTCCGACTGGGAGGTCTTTTTATTTGAGTCCCGACGGTGGTAGGATTTTTGACACTAGATAGGTAGGTCGAATTCAGTCGCCGTCTGCAGGAGAATTGTAGCTACCGACTGCTCTTATCGGTAGTTTTCAGTGGTTCCTCCGGGCAAAATCAGAAGCGTGCCGGAGCAGTGCCCTTACAAACAGGCCACAGACCGTTCACGACCTTTCCTCCTTCTTCCTTGCCCTAACTTCACCCCTTACTTACTCCCACCTACACTTACATGCACTACTTTGCCTCACACGTCGAGGGACCAGTCAGAAGTTTAGAGCTTGTTCCGGCTAGGTAAGTGCACCAGTGGTGGGATTCCTCCTTGAGGAAAACCTCACATTCCATCGTGTAGGTCGGCGCCGGATCTCGTTCTCCACCTGGGGAAGACACGCCACCTCCCGCAATGAAGCCATGCACTAGTCACGGGGCTAATGACCTTGACAGGTGACGTACCCGGATACACAAAATAATCATTTCATCCAGTCAATCAACCAACAATGTTAACTCAGAAGTCCCGATATTAATGCGTCTCAGTGAATGTTTTACAATAGTACACGAGTTACCGAAGAGTTTCGATATCAGAAAGTAGGTAGCAACTGTTACACGAGCACGTTTTCTGGAACTTCCGAATTCTTACCGAAATTATTTTGCCAACATTCGTTGAATCATGGATAAAAGATAGGAGCGAACGTTGGTGGCATTTGATAAAAAATATTTTCTCACTTGTGTTAGAGACTATCTGCACTGAAAAACGAGATAGTTCCGTCAAAATAACCAAATCTACTCCTGTTGCAACTAGCGAAGCGAGAGCTCAAGATATCGTGCGAAGATATTACTTGTCGGATAATCGCCCACCCCTCGTTTCCTGCTGAAATGTCTGACTAAAGTGGTGGAAGAAAGCTTTCTCCCTCTGCTACAGCCACTTTTTTTGTTTTTGACGTTAGTGCGCTATAATAGAAGTGCGTCAAACGACGCTGACTCACCTGTGCAAGCTGATCAAACCGCCCGAACAATTCGTTTAACGTCTTTACAAGTTCCGAGGCACTCAGTTGCTCCGACAACGGGGTGAAATTTACAATGTCTGCGTACAGAATACTGAAAAAAACGGATAAAATCATTTATAACAGATAAAGTAATACACATTATGGAGAAATATGATCCATATACAATTAACTTGTATTTATTCAAGATAACTTCGTGTACCTGACTAGGTGCATAGAAAGTCCGATATCTTTCCCAAAGAAGACTTTGATGAAACGCTTGATGTATTGCTATTAATCGAAATAATATTTTTAAACCACCACAATATGTTTAATAATATTCAGAAAAACAATCAGCAACTTTCAATGAAGTTGAAATAATTATTTAACAATTTTCAAATATTCTAAATGATTATTGCAAATAAGGTTTCAATTTTACTTTCTCAAAGCGCTTTGAAACTTGATAATATTTAGATGATGTGACTACACGCATACTAAAAAAGACAAGATATATCATCTTTAATCGAAAAACAAATAAATTATATTATTGAGTATATCAATATTCCTAAAAGAATTGAAATAATCATTAAGAAAAGAGAAAAAAGGTCTAAAATATAATACATATTAGTATGTAGTAATTTATTAACAGCCGATTCGGGTGGTCGAGATAGCTAAAGCAGTAGTGCCATGGCGATCTCGGGCCGAAGGATCGCGGGTTCTAGTCCCGCTTTGGGCATAGTTGGATCTGTGTTCGTCCTTTCCCCACTCATCCTCACCGTATCACTTCAATCAGTATTCCCTGCTAAAGGCAGAACACCCTTGCCCCTACTGAGATCTTAGTCAGCTAATTAAAAAAATTACTAGCTTTGCTTGCCAAATTTTGATTCTTAATGCTCGTGAACACAAACAGGATTTCTTCATGCTTTGAAATACCAGTTTTTGAAATAAAGTTGGAGAGAGCAATTTGGTGTAGGAAGCATAAAGATTTGTGGGCCATTAATGTAGATGCTAAAGTTGCAACTACAGCGAAGCACGACTGCAGCAAAAACACGCAGTTACCAAGCGATTTTATTTTACATCTTGTGAAAATAGAATAGAAACTAGTAATGCACAAAGACTGCGGAGATTGCGTCAAAAATCGTAAATTTAACATTGCACTATACAGCATGTATGATATTTATACCGTAAACCTCTAAAACACCAGAATCGCTTGGAAAATCCCGGAGTCCATGGCGGTAGGCGAGCGTGGGCTGCAATCGAAGAATTGCGAGGCGAATCGCGAGTGAACTGGGCGATTTCCAATACAAGGTCAGCTCATGAATTGCAGTTATTGTATCACATCCCAAAGGGTGAATAAATGTGCTGTACAATGATTTTTTTTTGCGAGAGGGCGGAAAATTTCCACATTCTCGAAAAAGGTATGAGGGCACCCCTGCCTATCGTGTTGATGGAGATAGAACTTGTCCCTTATCACTCCTAATCACACAAGAGTAAAATCGAAAAAAATATGAATTATTTGAGAAAATGCATTTAAAAACATTTGGCGCGGGGGATACAAAGTCTGCACTCGCCGACGCAGGGCACACCACTGGCTCTTTTCGCGCTTAGAGATCAGTTGACGACGCCGAATTGTTGCTTCAACATTCGCTCTGGTAACGAAACAACTAAACCAAAGGCAAATGAATTTGACAATGCAAAATTTGGCGCGCATATTTGACGAAAAATTATACTATTTTCCACATAAGTTAATTAAAAACTTTAAGAGCTGTGCTATCCTAGAATATAACGAGGCACTTTTATCTTAAGGAGACGATGACTGAGTACATTTAAAAAAACAGTATAATTTTCTGAAGAGCTTATTTTCAACGTGACATATCTACAAGAAACACGATTTTGCAAGTATAAAAAGTATGCACGTACAGCCATTTAAGTAAAGATAAGATTCAGAGATATTTTTCGGACATAGTTTAAGGCAGAAAAAACGCCATTTTTTAACATAATATAGGAGAGAATATAGAAGAATTGTTGAAGGACTCTTAAGAATATACGTAAAAGTAGAAAACAAACGTAAATAAAGGCACGTTTCTTTGGAAATAAGCTCTTTAATTATGTCTTAACTCACACAAATTAAAAGTGAGTAAATGACAATCCTAAACAAAATAAAATCTACAAACATTAGGAACAAAATCTTAAAAATTACAAAATGTACTGGAGTTCAATAAAACATATCTAATAAAATGCAATGTGCCTTATTAATATCTACTTCATAAAAAAACTATTAATAAAATTTAGGTTTACTTACCTGACATTGTTGTGGCGTTGCACGTACATCTCGTGGAAACGTGTTTGTTTGTTAGACATATCTTGACAAGCATCTGCCATTTTCAGCATGATGCTGCGTTTTACCTAAAATGAACGACAAAACAAATTCTTATTTCTCACGCGCAAGACAACGTACGTTTTCTTATAAAGTTTTTTTACAGAAATCTATTTCAGGTTCTGTTATACATATTTGATATTAACCGATCAATATGGAATAGATCTTACTTAAACTTTATGTAAATAGCAATCCAGATGGTTCCCTTGTTAAGTTTACCGGAAACCTACGCACACGGATCGTTTTTTACACAAAAACTCAAATCATCATCCCAGGCAAAAACGCGCTATGATCAAAACCCTTTACGACCGAGGTAAACGCATTTGCGAACCCGATCACCTACCCGCAGAACTACACCTCGAGAAGGTCTTACAAGCCAACGGGTACAAGCCCAGCGAAGTAAGACGAACTCTTCACCTGAAGAGGAAGACAGATGTACAAAATCACACAGAAGATACTCTACTCGGTACAGAATTCCTGCCCTATGTGAAGAGGGTAACGGACCGCATAGGAAGACGGTTAACAAGGAATAGGGTTAAAACTGGCTTTAAACCCACCCAACAACTCCGTAACATTTTACGTTCCGCCAAAGATCCCCAGGATCGCATGTCTTTAGCCGGAGTATACAGAATTCCTTGCTCTTGCGGTTCCGTATACATAGGTACTACAGGGAAAAGCTTTAATACTAGAATAAAAGAACACAAAAGAAACTGCCGTCTAGAACATACTGACAAGTCAGCAGTCGCCGATCAGTAAAAGGGGAATCATCAGGGAAAGTATGCCTCAGCAAAATATTGTTTTCATTACCAATGCCTTCCAAATTTTTCCTCATCCTCAGTTACAGATGTTCTGGTGTTTTTGTTCGAAAATTAAAAAAAGTTCAGCGAAAATGACACCTGATTATTTTAAGCGGCCTTTACTCTATCCGAGGATAAGTTTAATCCAAAAAGTTGGAGCTATTTATGAAAAAAGTTGGAAAATTTGAGGGTTTATGTAAAGTACCTAAAAAATCAAAATATTCGTTTTAATCTCACAGGGCTTTGGCTTCGACCAGATCAATCCGTCAATATCAATTTTAGAGCAAATCATCTGAACGGTTAGGCGCTAGCGTTGGTCAAAGACAGACGGACGGGCAGACACACGAGCGTAGACAGATAAACGGACAAGCGAACGGGCAGATGGAAACACAGACGGACGGACAAGCAGACAGACAATATTTTTAAAATTGTATTTACAAGTAGTTACAAGCGTCAAGTATTAGAAATATTTATTCAAGGATATTTAATTTTCGGAATTCTCTTCTTGTATATCGATATGTAATAACAGGAGGAGAAGGTGACAAAGTTGAAGAAGCGAGAAGAGGAGAGAGTCCTCCCTAACCGCACAAGCCAAATCGGCTGCAGTTGAAAATAATGTATTCCGAAATTCAAATAAATTCCCGCCTCTCCAGGGTAACTGGAGAGGGGAAAATAGAAAAAAAAGAGGAGAGAAGCAGATAAAGAAACAGAAGAAGAGTAAATACAAGTAAAGGGGAAAAAAGCGTTTGACTTAGCCCATAGTTCAATACTGTATGTTGTGTATTCACATAAGAATAAATTATTCCTCACATTCTTATTTCTGGCTTTCCGCTACAACGAGGACCTGATAGCTATTGATGAAATAAAATAAGGTCTCAAAACTGTTGAAACATTACAAATTTTACAGATGTGAATATTTACCCTGAGCTAAAGTATGATTTTTCCTACTACTTGCACTTATTGTCGGTCGCGATATGATTAAATAAATAATTGATAGATTCATAGATTTATTACATTTTGGCTTGATCTATTGCTTGGTGGCAAATATTATGATTACAGTTATAATTAAGAAAATTTATCTCTACATACCAATGTGCTTCATACCTTAAAACAAAATTTTACCCCATTTTGAACCACATCACATCGTTTGAAAACGTGTGTTAAGTACTCATGTCTTTGCATGTTAACCGTAATAATTTGTTTCCACCGAATATTTTTTTAAATTTTATTTTTAACTACCTTTTCATATGCGCAAAAATATCGAAATGTATTCAAATGGTTCTCTTTATTATCCATATTTAATAAACTAGAGGTGAACGACGATTGTTACTACATTCTCTCATCGATTTACGTTTACATCTAGTAACTTCACATCGCATCGGAATGAGAAATGCGCTCTCCTCAATAACTACAAAAATCCATCAACACGTGCATCTCCACCGTTCTTGGAAGGACCCTGCCGAGGTCCACACAGCACAGCCAGACAATTTATTTCTTTAGACTCGGGCAGTTTACGTTTGGAGCAAGTGAGACGGCCTGACTCAGCCTCTCCAACTATTTATCTGAACCTCCAGAGTCGTAGCTGAAAAGAGCCGTTAAGGTTGCTCAAAATTAGGTTTTGAGCATCTCTCTACTGGTTCAGAACATGTATAGTTGTCCGGGCTTAAATCTATTCTATGACGTGTGAATACTAAAAATTAGGTAGGTAATCAAAAATTATTAATCAAACTTTCTACTTGTAGGTTGATGTGATTCATGTTTCTAAATAAAATACATTTATTTTTAGTACGGTATCGACTAATAATTGTAATTATCGTTCCCCCTTTCATTAAAACATATTTCTAATTAGATTAAAAAATACCTCCATAGACCAGAATACGGCGTGGAGATGTCTACGTGCTAACCACACATATCACCTTAACCCATGGCCGCGAGTCAGGGACATGGCCGGTAGGCCCGTGCCGTCACGTATTTCACGTGGTAATGATTAATGATTCTGGTATTCAGAAAATAGAACTATTAAAAGAATATGAACAATTTTTATATTTAATTTTTATTTATAAAAACTTAACCCCCAAAGGCGAAAATTGGTAATGCACGTTGTGGGAAAAATACAGCATTAAATCAATACATCATTACTGTATAGTAATCTAAAGAGATTTCATTGAAAATGTTTATCATAAATTTCTAAAGCCAAGGAAAACATGAATGAAGTTTGATCGAGATGTTGAATTAATGGAAAAGCGCAGATGAGTGATCCTGAACGTTTTTGTTCCCTGCAATTGAGTGGAAGTAATTAAACAAACTTTTCAAACATTCACTCTTCAAGAAATGGCTACTTTTTCTCTCTTTCGGCCTGAATTCTTTCGAGAGTTTTGAATTGAAGACATTTTTCGATTTTGGGAAACGACTGCTAATGAGTTCCTAAGCCACTGAATGCTTAATCAATGAAATCCATTTTTACAAAAGATAAGGAAAGTGAATTTCTTGGCGGAAGACACAGTGGTTACGCATTGAAAAACCAATATTGTTTACACTGCTGTTCAAAGAAAGGCAGTATGAAGACTCCAGGACCTTTCATACGGGGAAAATTAACTAAAATGGGGTAGACAGACTATCTAATGTAAACCTTCAAAGCATTTATCCAGGAGTAAAATTCAACTCCACAAAGTATTAAAATCTGCAACATATGAACTGTTCAATTTATTAAATTATTTCTCTTCGACAAATGCATGCCAAAAAATAAGTGGAAATTAGTTGACTAACCCTGAAGTAATTATTAATGGACACAACTTTCTTGCACGTGATTATAATGAGTGATGTGCTAAAAATTAATCAGTTCACATTTATTGTAGGTTTTGTTAAAAATATATTTTGTGTATGAGAGAAACGTCTTAATATTATACAAGAAATCATTTTTATTTCACATCGTATTTTAGTGAATTGAACATGAATGCGCGTATCTCGTTTTTGTTCTGAAATTTTTGAGGAATGGAAATCGGTAAGTGTCCTTGAAAGAAAATATTAGGTAAGAGTTTTGACTTTGCAAATGTAGCGTGCATTTGATACTACTCTGTAGGTATATCTTAATAAGTATAATTAATGTTTGTGTCAGAAAAAACTTTCCAAAATTTCTATTAACATTTTAACTTCAAGGCGATTTTTCTCAATTTTGTGACATTGTCACATATTTTGATTTTGTTCTGAGATACTCAAATGTGATGTAAACTGCTATAGAGTGCCACAGAAACGAGATTACATAACACCATATGTGTGTGTGCGCAGGAGGGGGGGTCAGATGAACCCGCGGGACCCCTGATATTTTTAAAAGGTGTCTCTAAATCTTATGCAATAAATGATTTTATTTCAGTAAATATTTCAATACCTGATTTCCTTCTTTTTTTAGCTTACAATTTGAAAAAATTGTTTTAAGACATTTATTTTCCAAGCCATCTGATATCTCCGCAAATGACCCAACAGAGAACAATTAATTCATTATATCATTAAAGTTATAATATCGTTTGCTTTGAATGTTTTATTTATTTTCCTGTAAAGCAGGTCATATGTACTAAAAACGTAAATGTAAAAGGGGCCCATAAACGCAATTGAATCGGTGCAAACAAAAAGGTTCATTGTCATATATTCCTGGTTTTGAGTTAACGGTAAGAAACTGTTCTTAATGTGTAAATTCAATTTTCTACGCATAAACCTTCGTTGTCCATGAACTCTGTGACATCTTTAGAGTTGCCTTCAACTATTAATGTTAAAAAAATATGTGTCCCAAACCTAGAACCTTTTTGCTTACTCTTCAAAATTTATAGCTCCTGGACATCAAACTTTCTTTTTTTCTCCGATTCAATTGCCCTCTTCTGGTTTTGGTGGGTACACGTCTGTACATAACACCCACAATGAACGACTTTATGAGGTTCAATGACTCTGGTCCCTTTAACCTTTCGGTTCTCTTTAATATCTTAACTCTTGCATCCTGTTCACAAGTATCATGCACGCATCATAAGGCCATCTAAATCTTCTTCAATAGACGCGTCGCTTTAAAGTGTTGAGCGAAGAAGTTGAGTAATGAGTTCAGAAGACACTTCAAGTACGTCTTGTTGTGAATGACATATTTGTTTTATCTACATCAAAAGCATCTCAAGTCGGGCATTTATTAATATTTTCAAGCGGGCACTCTGGTGAATTCCGTTCACTAGAAGTCCTTTCAGTCTCATCCCTGG